CTGCACAGTAAGGAGGGTGGCTTCATTGGACCAGTTTACCAGCTGAACTACCAAAGCCACATGGCTTCTGCTGCACAGTAAGGAGGGTGGCTTCATTGGACCAGTTTACCAGCTGAACTACCTGCAACTTCCCAGAACATCCAACTGAGTCTGGAAGTCCATAGATGGCAACAGGGACTGTAGAACGTCCTAGATCAAGTTCAGGAATGGAGGCGATGAGAGATCCCATCTGAACATCAGAACCAATCAGATGCTCCAAACTGGGCCGCTGGATGAGACGGGACGCTAACGGATCAGTGTCTGGAGGAAGAGGCAGCTGCCCCTCAGTCAGGCGACCCCAGCTGGATGTAGTGGGAAACCCTTTGGAGTCCCCAGGGCTTGATAACGACCACTCACCAAACATCTTCTGCTCTGCTTGCTTCCAGATGTGGAGACGCCGACCATCCAGCAGCCCAGCAGCGCCAGCGAGAAGACGCAGCTGATTGGCGACGCCCACCGCAAATATGGAGACACCTACACCTGAGAGGGCAAGAAGACCCCACACCCCGCTGACCCCACACCCCGCTGACCCCACACCCCGCTGACCCCACACCCCGCTGACCCCACATCCAGCCGACCCCACACCCCGCTGACCTCACACCCCGCTGACTGGAACACCCAAACGTTCTTCACCAAAGACATCAAAACGTCTCTGACGTTCCAAACACGAAACATAAAACGTGATGAAAATTAAAACATTTGAGACAATCTATAATTACTGAAACCTCTGAGACATTTTAAGCTCCAAAGCTTCAGTTTGGATCTTTTATGAAATCACTTCAATCCATCTCCATGTTGTTACTTTGTTATGAGGCAGATCATCTGAGAACAGATCCATCTCCTCCATCAGCTGCTACTGCCGTCTGAGGAAATGCACCAAAAATAACCAATCAGAGCCAGGAGGCGGGGTCTAGTGATATAAATCACCTCAAGTACCAGCTGCTGAATGTGCTAATGGTGGAGAAACAACTCACTGTTACTGTTTATCTGCCGTCATCGGTTGCTATGCTAACTAGCCTAGCATTCATGATAATCTGTGCTAGCAGCAGCACAGCAGAGAACAAGGAGGGGAAGCAGGCACAACTAAGAGTGATTGACAGCGTTAAGTCCTGCCTCCAGGTTCTGATTAGCTGTTTAAAGTTAGCACTCAGATTATCTCTCATAACAAACTGTCACACATGGACAGTTTCAACAAAAAAAATATTTGATTCATGAAAGTTACGAACTGCAGCTTTAAGAAATTTGAGACAATACAAACACTTGGACGGCTCTCACCTTCCACCCCGCCGACCTCTAACCCTAAACCCTGAAGCAGCAGCATCCTGTTCTGAACAGAACCCGCCTCCGTTGGGGTTGGTGACTTCCTGAATCTAACCAAACTCCTGCTCTGATTGGCTGTTTGATGATGAGTCATCCTGGAGGAGGAGCTTAAACTCTGTTGTTCCCATGTTGATGTGGAGACAGTGGTGGTCAAGTGACCCGCTGGAAGCTCCGCCCCTCCATTTGTATGCTAATAAAGGACTAATGTGTGACTCAGTGTCCGCCTGATCTGTGGCTCACAGTTTGACCTTTGCCCTCTGACAAGCAGACTCAGGGTTCAGCCTGCCAGGTGTTCACAGTCTTTCTGCTTCTGTTTTATGTCTTTATCATCAAGCAGAATTAGCTTCGTTTTATTTTGTGGAAGTTCCCGTTCAGCCTCAGCTGCTGCAGTTTTAGTTTCCAGACAGATTTTCACTAAGAGAGAGATAATCTTTTCTGGTGCGTCAAATAAAATTAATTAAAATTTCTACTCTGTTCATAAAGTGCCAACATGGACGCCCTGACCTCATCATGTCTCCTGACTGCTGCGCTTTGTTTCATCTGCGTTCTGATCCCACATTCTGGGTTTTACTCTTCTTCACTGATCAGCGAATGAAAACTTGACGAGTTCTAACAGCGTTGAGTCTGCCGTCTTCTTCTGTGGTTTTATTGAACCCGGGTGCTTTTTGCTTTGCTGCTGAGACTCACTTGAGGGTTCACACCCCTTCAACTTTTCCATATTTGGTCATATTGCAACTACAAATATTAACACATTTCATTGGAATTTAATGTGAAAGATCAACAGTATGAAGATTATACAAATCAAAACATTTTGTGCAAATATTTAGTTTCCAGCTTAGGGGAGAGGGGAACTAACTGGTTGACCTCAGAAAAGGGGGCTGAATATGTTTGCACATGGCACTTTTCAGTTTTTTATTTATAAAAATATTTTGAATCATGAATCAATTTCTTTCTACTTTCCAATTGTGAACCAGTCAGTGTTGATCTTTCACATTCCAATGAAATAAATGGATCTGATTTTGGTTCCTCATGCTTCAGTCTGACCAGCAGGGGGCGCTGCAGCTGGATAAGCTCCTGTGTATGGTTCCTTTAACTTCCCCCTCCTCATCTGTCTCATGTCCCCTGTTGACCTTTGACATAAAAGGCTATGTCGGCACGGCAACGGCTGACGTCCCTGAGTCTAAAAACAGCCTGAGACTCAGAGAGCAGCTGACTGCTCCGAGTCTGCCGACGGTTTCACCGTCCGCATGACTCATCCTCTCTCTGGGACTCGTCTTCTCTCTGGGACTCGTCTTCTCTCTGGGACTCGTCTTCTCTCTGGGACTCGTCTTCTCTCTCGGACTCGTCTTCTCTCTGGGACTCGTCCCGGTCATGGACAGTCTGGAGAAGCAGCTGGTGTGTCCCATCTGTCTGGAGATGTTTTCCAAGCCGGTGGTCATCCTGCCGTGTCAGCACAACCTGTGCAGGAAATGCGCCAACGACGTGTTCCAGGTGAGACGTCCGTCCCTCCATCATGTCCTCCTCTCTGGACGCTGAATACTCCTTCATCTCCAGAACCAGAACCCATTGGGTTTCTGGCTCCATGCAAGAAGCCTCAGCCAAACAGAACAAAGACTGGTACCAGTTGGTACCGATTGGGAAGCAGCCAAAGTCCAGGGAGGAGCTGGACACCATGTTAGCGCCTGATTAGTCTGCTGTCCTCTCCAGGCATCCAATCCCTACCTGTCCAGCAGGACTGGTTCCACAGTGACATCAGGCGGACGGTTCCGCTGCCCGTCCTGCAGGCACGAGGTGGTTCTGGACCGGCACGGCGTCTACGGGCTGCAGAGGAACCTGCTGGTGGAGAACATCATCGACATGTACAAGCAGGGCAGCAGCAGGTAGCGACACCTTGGGACAGTCCCAGCCTGGTTCCCATGGTTACCACAGTACTGAGGCTGGCCTAGTCAAAGAGTTCAATAACATCCAGATAAATACAGACTGTACAGTGCTGGTTCTGGTTCTGTCGGACATCAGCATTGGCCATGACGTATAACTGAAACTACTGGAGAGCTGGGAGGACCATCTGGTTCCGGTTGTGGACTGGAACCAGCCCACATTTCTGGTTCTGATGCGTTTGTCTCTGAGGTTCTCTTTGTGTTCATCAGTAAGCCGGAACCCGAGAAGAAGCAAGAGCCGATGTGTGAGGAGCATCCGGACGAGAAGATCAACATTTACTGCATCACCTGCAGCACCCCCACCTGTTCACTCTGCAAAGTGTTCGGACAACACAGAGACTGCCAGGTGGCGCCGCTGAGCCACGTCTTCGCCAGCCAGAAGGTACCACAGGGTGTGTTGAGGTGTGTTGAGGTGTGTTGAGGTGTGTTGAGGTGTGT